ATTAAATTCATGATAACTGAAGAAGGTGAAAAATTCACTTCCCCATTTCAAGTGTTCAGAGGCTTCAGTATTGGAAACAGACACAGGACATCTGTTCAGACAGCGCTGGGCTGGGGAGAGAGGCAGGAGCCACATCAAGATGGGTGTCAGGCTCCGCTAAGAAGGGTAAACTCAATCTTGCACAGCCAACATGAGGACCCAAGTCCTCTATCCTGAGCCACTGTTCTTTCCTCTAAGCCTGCCTGTCAGCCTTTCATAGGAGAAGTCAAACAGGGCTTCTGACCAAGCAGATGGCATTTTGGATTAGGAAAAGGTACCTCCCCTGGCTCAGGAAGGCCCTGTCCTCTCTGCCACACCCAGTGCAGTGTGAGGACGCCCACTCATGTCCCCTGAGAAAGGACAGCTTGCTGTCTGGAGGAAAAAAGCATCTCAGAGACAAGGGCCGGGCAACAGGGTGAGAAGGAAGAGGGAAGATCAGCGAACGAGAACTCCTGATTTATCTGGCTCGTCTTTAGGGATTTGTTTTACATATACATACATACTTTTTTAAAGGATAAGGACTTCAGTGATTTATCTAAACTAATCAGTGTATCTTAAACATCTTAAAAAGGCGCCGCTGGTTTGGCTTGAGATGGGGACTAGATGCATAAAAGGACTTGTGCAAAAGTGTCTCTGGTCTAATCAGATGCACCAAAGAAATTCATTTTTTCAGCTGCTAGAAAAGCCTTTTGTTTCCTTTTTTAAACACAAATGCTTTTCGGCTGTGGACTTTATTCTAACTGGCCTGTAGGAAACATGCTCATGACAAGCAACAGCTGACCACCGCATCAGGGAAACCAGATGGAAGCCTGTAAAATCTCGAAAGGCTCCAAAGTCTCTCCCGGCTGGGGACGTGATCTCTCCAGACGGGCCTGCTTGGGGACAGAAGAGGCCAGGAGCTGCACAGCCCTAAAGGTCACCTTTATATCTGATATCAAATATTTTTACTCACTGTTTAAAACTTCTGATCAATGGCAAAATTAAATTTAATGATAACTGTAATAACAAAACACAAACAACCTAGAAACTTAACCTACTTATTATGGTGTATAGATACAGCCTATGATCATTGCTTTCTTGAGAGGTATGGAAGCACCCTTGGGTGCATGCAAATTATAACTTCACTCCCCCAGTTGCTAATTGAAGAGGCCACGTAACCCAGACCTGCATGTACCGGGGGCCAGCCACTCCACCTTGGCCTCCCAGTAATGACCAGCTCTGCTGGGCCTGGAAAGTCAAGCAGACAGCAGGCCAGGCTACAGGGTGCAGCTCCTGGGCACAGGAGAGGCCAACACTGCACAGGTATCTGCATACCAAATATTAATTGTGCTTTAGTTTTGTCATCCTTATCCTCACAGCCAGATAGGAAATATTAAAGATGCCTTAAGGTTACTTGCTACTGTGATAGGGAAGTGTCCAACTCCTATCATTTATTAAGAAAAGCTATAATTACAAAAGATAAAAATTCCAAGGCCTTCTTTCCACTTTGTATCAAACAACCTAACTTTTACATTCTTAAACAAACTGCCAACATGACGTACAGCTCCAAAGTAACATCTTTTCAAAAATTAGCTCAAATTAAACAGGGACAGTTTAATGGAACATGTAACAGATAATTATACATGCTATCACTTTAAAGACTGAATACATTCTCTAACTTGTTAACTGAAAGCCTTGAAACCTTAAAAAAATAAGGGCCTAGAAACCTAAACTTATTATGATGTACACGTTAGTATGCTTTCGAGAGCTGAAACAGAGAATGTCATGGTGCAGGCCCCTTTTTACCTCCCAGAGTAGCTGGCCTCCTATACTTAACATCATGTCAGACATTAAGAGCACTAGCATAGCTCAAGTTACCCAGTTCGATTAATTTTCTAAAATTACTTCTTGTTCTCATAACTTGAGTAAATACAAATTTATGCAAATGTACACCAGCTATGTCTTGATGAAACTCACATTTTGATGCAACTGATTAGCAACTTCCTTTACACAAGCATAGTTCTGAATATAGCCATTGATCAACTGCACCAGCTGTTTTGCTATTTCACGTCACTAGAGACTATTCTCTTCTACAGAAATATGTGTTTACTCCATAGAGAAAAAAATTAACCAGTACCCTGCCAAACTCAATTCTGCCTCTTCCTCAAATAGGGTCTGGGGTAAATGTAACCCTGTGTCCCACAGCAACTGACTACTTTCACGGATCTAACAAATACTCAAACAGATAAACTAAAAGTAAACAGATTCTTAAATGGACTTATATTTTAAAACTTCATTCACCAAAGGCAATTTGCCTTTACCTGTATTCTAGAATATTCTATCAATCATTATGCTTCAACTGAGTTGTAAAATTCCTCAAAAGTCACATCAAGTCTGACTTGGTAGTTTTTGCAAATGCCCTCCTTCCTAAAAGATCACTTTTCCCAGACAAGTTAATCATAAGCCATTGCTTTAATGAAATTACTAATAAAAACATTCAATTTCAATCAAACTAAAAATGTATAATTGCGTTACTAAAAGTAACTATTAATAATTTAGTTTGGGATTATTTACATTCACTAACTTACCTGTCTCTTTCATAATCCTTAGGAAGGGCTTTTATAGACCTTATTGTAAGGTGAAATCACCTAATTCGCAGCTCCCCAACCAGCCCTTTCCTACATCACACAAGAGCTAGAGACAGTTTCAGTCATCACATCAGATGTTTGCCATCGTGGGGGAAAAATGGCAGCTTACTCCAAGTTTGATCTGAGAGCCATCCCCTGTAGTATCAGAGAGAAACGAAATTTCCCTGGAGCAAGTGGGCAGCAAGAGGGGCAGGTCAGAGAAGAGGAAATGGTCATTTCAGGGAAAAACCAACCAACTGCCACTAGCAATACACCAAAGCCAGGGATCTCACAACCTAGCCTTTCCAAGGATCTCACAATCTAGCCTTTCCAGAGATCTTCCCAATCTATTTTTTCTGGGAGGAAATCCTTACACAAAAACGATACAAAACATTACAAAAAGCCCAAAACCATTTCTTTCCTCTGATTTTAACACAAAAGAGCTTTATTACTAAACATGTAATTCTTTTCTGGAAAAAAGCACACTGAGATTTTTTTGTGTGATGTCTCTTCACTAAAGGTCCTAAAACTAAATGACAAATGATAAAATAATTGGGAATAAAGGAAGTTAAAAGCAACATGTCTACATTTTGTGGACAAGGAGGTTCCAACAAGCAGATGAGATGCTCCAGAGGAGTCCGTGGGAAAAGAACCAAATGCATCAACAACAACAATTTCATGTTTTGTTATCCCTGGCAAAAGTGCTTAGTTTGCAGGAAGGCCAACGGGGGCTCTGAAACGCAGTGTGCAGAACCAGGCCAGGGTTTACCTCTTGCTTATATAGTACCAGGCTGTAAAGTACAGCCCCAACTTCGGATTTGCTGTTTCACTTGTATAATCAGAGTCCTTTAAAGGATTTTACAGATATTCTTCGGACACAGTTTTGCTGGCCTCTTAAATGCCCTGTCATATTTGTTCATAAGGTGCTAGCGACAACGATTCAGTCTCCTTAAACAGACTCATTAAATAGGTTCCCAAAGAGACAGATTTAAAGGTAATTCTGTTTCACATTTCCAACTGTGTCATTTCAGAGTGCCCATGACCACGAAAAGGGATTTCCCACATTTAATTTCTTTCTTGGAGATTTGTTTATTAAAAGGAATTACATAACCACCGCTAAGTGCACTGCAAAAATCTCTCTTAACATTCCCCAGCTTCAGAATTATTTGATTTGCTAACCTGGCTCACCTTTTCCTGGCATTAAAGGGAGAGAGTTAGAGAAAAAAGCCAGTTTTCAAACTTGTGCAGACTTGGGCAACACAGCGGCAAACGGGCACAGGGGCAGAGTGAGTCAGTGGGTCACAACTGCACAGAAAAGAGATTAGGTGTCCCCAAAGCTGCCTCGTGAAGACCAGTTGCTATAGTGGAAAGTGGACCCACCCGGTGAGCAGGTGCAGGGCCCACCCAACCACTCATTCCATTTGCAAGACTCATAACACATTTGTTCGGGCCCTGAGGGAGTTCACCCATCCGCAGGACGCCGCGGGGGCGCGCGACCCGCGGTCCACAAGCTGCGGCCTGGTTGGACTGAGCGTGGGGTTATGGTCCGCTCGTATCCGGTTGAAGGGCAGAATTGTTTTCCTTGTTTTAGGGAAATTTACCCTTCCTGCGAGTAAAATGGTAATGTGACATGTAAGCCCCACACGCACGCAAGGTGTGGGATTGGTAAACACACTCTGAAAGGCCAGGGCTGCGGCAGACAGTGCAGGATGGAAGGAAGCCCCGCCTCTAAGTGCGACGCTGGGGTCTCCCCGGGCCGAGCCCACCTTGCGCCCTGTACACTAACAAGGGACCCCCGGAAAAGAAAGCGGGCGGGGAGAGCAGTTGTGCTGAACACCTCGGGCCGGCACCCTCTAGGGTCCGCTCCGGGAACGCGGGACCCAGGTGCCTGCGAGGTCCCGGAGCCCGCCCAGCCCTGCTCGGGCAGAGCGGACGCTGGGCCGGCCGACTCGACTGGCACGCGGGCGGACACGGGGCCAGTCAGCTGCAGGGCTGGAGCCCGAGGCCGGGTCTCCCACCCCGCCGCGCGCCAGAGCGAACACGCGGGGTGTTTGAACAAGGGTCGGGGCTCCGTGGGGGCTCTGCCCGCGGGTACCCCCAAAAAGGGCGCGCGCTCATAAACGCGCCCACGCGAAAAGTACTCGGGCCTCAGCCTGACACTGTTACCTGGGCAACGACCCGGGTGCACAAAGTATACAACCCCCTTCCCGGCAGGGCGCGGGCCCGCGGCCCGGAGAGGGGAGGGCGCCCCGTCCCGGGCTCCCTTCGCCCGCCCCCCAACCCCGCCCCGAGAGCGCGCAGTGCGGGAGTCCGAGCCCCGCGAAGCCCCCGGGCGCGCTCCGCCAGACTGCTTACCCGGTGGGGGGCTTGGCCACCAAGGCGCGGGGCGCGTCCATGGAGTCGGCGGCCGGGGGACGCGGGCGGCGCTCGGGCCCGGCCGAGTCAGGCGTTCGCTGCCGCCGCCGCCGCCCTCATTCACTTTTTCCGCGCTGACCCATCGTCCTCCCACGCGGGCCGGCGGAGGACAGCGGCGGGGCCCAGCGGACTCAAGGGGCTGGAACCGTCCCGGGCGGGCCGGCGGGCGGGGGCGCCGGCGGCGCGGGGAGGGGCTGGCGCGGCGCGGGGCGGGGGCGCCGGGAGCAAGGTGCGCCGCGCCCACCGGAGCGCCGCCCCTGCCCGCCCGCGGCTCGGCTACCCAGAGTCCCGCCGGGTCGCAGGCGAGCGTCCCGGTAAGGGGCGGCGGCCCCTCCCGGCCTGTGCCCGGGTCCTCCACCCCGGGAAGCAGAGCGCCCCTCTCTGGCGGGGGAGGGGGATGTCCCGAGGCGCTGGCCGGGCCCGCTGGGAGGAACGGCCCAAGGGGGAACCACCTGGCTGCAGGCGAGGCTGGTCGAGGGCGACAGGGGCGGGTCAGGGGAGAGCGTTGATGTTGGAGAATGAGCTGTGAGTGACCGGTGTTGCTCTCTCTGTCCTGTAATCCAACAGAAACTTCTTCCATGCACCAGATGTCTAGTGGGGGAGAGGGGATGCGGGGAACGGGGTTTGGGTTTCAAGGTGGATCCCTGACCGGCAGCAGCTGGGACCTTCTTAGAAACACAGCAGATTCGGTGCCCCACTGCGTCCTTCGGAATCAGAAACAATGGGGTCTAGAGTAGGGCCCAGCTGTGCTACCAGAAGCCCCTGCTGATGCAATGTGCTCTCTAGTTTGCCAAGATGGTCTGCTGGACGCCAGGGTTGTGCAGCCCTGGGATGGATTCTAGTATATAGGCTGGCGGGCAGAGGCAGGGAAGCTGGGGCCTGGGGCCCGAGCAAATCAGTCCCAGGCCGCTGATCTGCCCGCACTTAATCTTGAACAACCCCTAAGCAACAATAGAGATTTGGGTTAATGTTTATGTGGTTCTGAGGACTAGAACACGGGGAAAAGATACGGAATAATGATCAACATTGGAGGGGATGCTCCTCATGTATCTCACGCTTGGATGAGGTGTCCTGAGGCCTGTATGAGCCTTTCCCCGCTGCTACCCAGCTTTCTCATTAACAAAGGGGGAAACCAATCTAGATACAGAATGCAAAGTCCCTGCCACGACGTGCAAGGCCTTGAGTGCTCAGTCCCGGGCGCCCACCCAGAGCCCAGTTCCCACCTGTGCTCACAGCCTTGGGTCTGGGGGCACTGCAGCTCAGCCTCCCTCCCGACGGGCCCCTACCTGGGGATGCACTCCCTCAGGATTCCTCTCTTGCTCCTTCCCACACTCTGCTGCCATACCACCTCCCCAGGGAAGCCCCTCCTAAGCCCTCCAAATGAAGGCAAGGACCTCCTGCTCTGCTTGTCCTGCTTCATCCCTCCGAGCATTTATCACTGTTTATATATGTGTATGTACATTGTTTGAATATATTTGCATGTTTGTTTATAAAGAAATGTTTATGTTTTTGTTTACATTTGTTAATTTTTTATCAGCTGCATATATGTATGAATGTGTATATAAATTTTGCTTATATAAACAAATATGGGTGTGCACATTATGTATTAGTGGAACATAAATAGATAAATACATATATTCAGTATACATTCTGTCGGTAGGCTTGCCATCCATCTCCTCCCCCAGAATGTGATTTTAGTGAGTGCTGGGTACTGGGTATTGTTTTATTCATCACTGAACACCCAGCTTCTAGGACAGTGCCTGGCTGATAGAGGTAGTGCTCCCTAAATGAAGAGCACACTGAATGAATGAATCTCTATAACTCCTTCCACCTCTAGGTTTCAGGAGCAGGGATGTCCTTCCCAGGATTTTGGAAGCTGCTTCTTGTTCTGGACACTAAGGGGTTGACCTAGAAGTGGACTAAGACCAGTGCACCTAGACCCCCCAGAGGACCCTAGGTTGAAGGACCCCAGTTCATAGGTCACATGTAACCTGGGCCTGTTAAAGGCAGCAGGAGGAATCAGGTGGAAGGTGGGGGACCAGGAGCACAGAATAGTCCAGTGTACTCAGAGCAGATAGCTGTTGAAGATTTTCCAAGCAAGATAGTCTATGTCCTAGGAAAATGATTGGAAGGTGGCAATGTTCCACCTCCAGGCTGAGGTTGAAATTGCTCTCCTGGGATGAAGACCCAGAAGGGGCCTGGACAATCTCTGATTCCTGAAAATCCTTAAGCATCTCTGACACCAAAACCCAGCAAGCACCACTGTCCAAGAATGGAGTGGAGTGAGGGCTGGGAAGAGATGTCACAATGAGGCAGAGGGCAGGGTCAGACTTGCTACCAGAGTTGGGGGCTGAGTTCCCAAACTGTTAGTGGAGCTTCAAAATGAGCTGGACCTGGCAGCCAGTTGTAGGGGAAGGCACAGTACCAGGGAAGCAGGCAGACCTGGGACCCAGTATCTCTGAATTGCAACCCAAACTTCCCTTACAGGTGAGATACACTCATGTAGGGGTGTTTTGCAAAATTGTGCAGTTCAACAGATACTTCTGAGCATTGGCCTCTATACCCCATTGCAGTGACCCAGGTCTCCCCTTCCTCGTACTGCACAAAAGCTAAACTTTTGTCCCTTTTGTCCACAGAGCATAGCAGAGCACCATGCCTGATGTCCTTGTGCAGCTGTCACTGACACCTTGGCTAGGGCTCTGGACTACCATCCTGTCTGCTCTTGACCCCAGAAGCAGGAGCTTCACTGCTGCTGGGAACAAGAGAGTGAGGCCCCTTCAGGGACATTCTTTCCTTGTCTGACACTGCATCCCACTTCATTCCTACCTGTCTTCCCAGACACCCCCTTCCTGTTGGCAGGCCTGCCTGGGGCAGCACCAGCCTGTCGGTGCTGCACATCCCTTTGTACTGAGCCCCCCTTGCAGTGAGGTGGAGGGCCTGGAGGAACATGCAGAGAGTCACTCTAAGCTCTCCAGTATTGGAAGGAAAGGAAATGAAGAATGCACATTAAGGGCAGGCCAGCTTACAGCAGTGCTGACTAAACTTGAATATGCACAAGATGCTTCTGTGGTCTTGTTAAACTGCAGATTCTGGCCCACTGGGTCCAAGTCAGGACCTGAAGAGTCTGCATTTCTAACAAGCTCTCAGCAATGTGGAGGCTGCTGACCCAGGGACCACACTTCAAATAACGAGCTTTTGGGTCAAACATACTAGCTTCAGGTTAGACCCTCCACTCAATAGCAGTTACCAAGAACTAATCTCTTCTCTCTAAGTTTCAGTTTCCTCCTCTGTAAAATGAGAATAATCAGGGGCAGATCCAGGTTTTGCTGGTCTGGTTATACAATTTTAAGTACCTTAAAAAAAAGTATGTCATATGAGCAACACAAATTTTTGGAATATTGACTGAATTTTTTGCCCCCAAAATTCACAAGTTGAAAACCTGGGACTGCATTTGGAGATGGGCCTTTAGAACATAAAAAAAGATCAATGAAGTCATAAGGGTGGGGCTCAAATTCTATAGGTGTCCTTATAGGAAAAGAAAGAGAAACAAGATCACTCTCTCCCCGTTATACTTACAAGCTGGCTTCAGGCAAAGATTTCATCGCTTCTTTTTGTAGGATGATAAGCTATTTAAACGGAACAGATTTTATGTGAGATCATTAACTGCAACAGTAACTCCAAGAAACACTTACGTAGAGTCCTTTATTTTTATTGAGACATAACTCACATTCAATAAAACTCACCTCTGTCAAGTATACAGTTCCGTGTATAACCACAGTTCCATGGTTATACAATTCTATGGTTATACAAAGAGTTGTACAACCGTTACTACTATCTAATTTCAGGACATTTTTATCACCCGCAAAAATAAACCTTCTATCTGTTAACATTCTCTCCATATTCTTCCCTCACCCTACTCTAGCAACCACCAATCTTTCTGTCTCCATGGATTTCCCTATTCAGGACATTTCATATAAATGCAATCATACAATAATGTGACCTTTTGTGTCCAGCTTCTTTGATTTAGCATAATGTTTTCAAGTTTCACTCGTGGTGTAGCATGTGCCAGGACTTCATTCCTTTTTTATCACCAAATAATATTCCATTGCATGGGTAGACCACATTTTGTTTATATATTCATCAGCTGATGAACTTTTAAGTGGTTTTTCACTTTTCGTCTGCTATAACTAATACTGCTATGAACATTCATATATAAGTTTTATGTGGACATATGTTTTCATTTCTCCTTTGTGTATACCTTAGAGTGGAAATCCTGGGTCATAGGTAATTACATGTTTAACCCTTTGAGAAACAGTCAAGTGTCTTTCCAAACTGGTTGTACTGTTTTCCACCCATCAGTGTATGAGGCTGTTGTTGACGTCCTTGCCAACACTTCCTATTGTCTGTCTTTGGTTATAGACATCCTGCAGGTGTTATGTGGTATCTCACTGTGGTTTTGGCTTCCATCTTCCTAACAACTAATGATGTTAGGCAACTTTTCACGTGCTTTTTGGCTATTTGTGTACCTTCTCCAGAGAAATGTTATTCAAGTCTTTTGCCCATTTTGCAGATAGGTTATTTGCATTTATATCTTTGAGTTGTGAGAGTTCTTTGTATATCCTGTGCACAAGTCCCTTATCATATATATGACTTGAAAATACTTTCTCACATAATACTGGTTATTCTTTCACACTCTTGCTGATATCTTCTAAAGCACAAAATTTTTTACCTGTGATGAAGTTCAATTAATTTATTGTTTGATTTTGTTGCTTGTTATCATAGCCAAGAAACCATTGCCTGATTAAAGGTCTATTACGTAGTGTATTATCAAGTGTTAATGCTTTTTTTAAAATCACAGTACACTTTCTTTAAAGTGATAATTCATAGGCAGGGCCACAGGCATAAGCACAGGACACAGGAAAATTTAGGAAGTAGCAGAGGACTGTCCACAGAGACTCCAGCCTTATCATTCCGTATCCTGTCCTTTGATTAGGGCCCCTTAAAAACAACTGACTGGATCAGGGCCAGTTCCATTTGAATAGCCAACAGACATTAATCCAAGGGATGGAGTCCACAAAGAGGCATCAGGTAGTAGCAACTGAGGAAGACATGCAGGGGAGGGGTTCTGATTCCCAGGAATCCTGAAACCATTGTCAGGGAGGGAGGGGTCA